TTGTTAGGAGGAGCATCGACCTCGTGACTTCCGAAGGAATTCGGCTTTCACTATGAGGTGTCTAAATGAAAATCTAACTCCTTGGGGTAGAGTTTAAACGGTTTGAATCATTTTTTTCTGGTCAGCGTTTTTTTAGTGAGTTAGTTTTCTACGGAATGGGGTTGCTAGCCCCATGTCTAACCTTCCTCCTTTATACGGGCTTGGGATTGGCATTAACCTCAGAGGGACTCCAGGTGGAGTTTTGAATGAAAAATAATTCATATTATTCTCCATCTATAAACATAGCGAAGTGATTGAAGTTAGGAGGTTAAGTGTCTGTGCACGTGATCGATTTCGATCGGGTCGTGTATACACATAGTTGAGGGGGCCCGTATTAGGATGACTCCAGGTTCTAAACTGTCATTCAATCAGGATCAGCCTGTCATATAGTCTATAAATAGATGCTTTATTGTCGACATGGTGTGATCATATGACTGTAGTCTAATTGTCCAATATTTAGGCAGTATATAAATGTACGAGGGTCCAAATGATTGTCAAGATTGTGTTTGTGACATCAATCTAATGTAGAGAACTCTGTGAATATTTTGAATATGTAAAGATAAGTGAGGAGTGATGAAAATGTGTCAGAGTCTCAAAAACTACTGCGATCTCTTCATTCTTTTCTATATAGGTTGCAAAATATATTAACTAAAAGAATGTAAAGACCAAAGTAGCTGAGGAGCGTACAAGGTATGATGTATCAATGGATTTGTTGATAATAAAGTTGATTCAAGAAATGTTAAAACTATGGATCAACGAAATTCTAAGAATGACATGAACTTTCTAGGATCATGGAATTTCGTACAATCAGTAATTAATACACATATTATTATAGATCCGTCCATTAATCTTTACAGAGAAGGTTTATCAATTACATCATCAGAGATCGATTGAACAAGACAGTCAACTTGAGTACAAGAATAATGAAACTTACGAAGATTCCCAGTCACAAATCAGGCCATCAAAATTAACTTATTTAACCTACTTACTTAAACGTTTTACCCATTATGCCGCTTCGATATCCGGTGGATTCAGTGGAGCTGGTCTATTCAAGAGTTCCTCGAAGTGTTCTACCCATCTTTTGCTCTATTGTTGAATCTCAGTGATTGGCTTGCCTTCTTTATCCTCGACTGGTGTGTCTGGTTTACAATATTTCCTTTCTAGTTTCTTTGTGTCACATAGTTATTTGATATTGCGTCCTCTTTGCAGCTTTTTCCGCCGTGGTTGCTGTCTTCCACGTATTTCTGTCTGTCAGGCCCTAAAGCTCCTACTAATTGTTCGTTTGCTTCTGTGTATTGAGTTTGTGACTTGACTTTGTCTGTTGTTGTTCGGCTAGTTGTTGCTAATTGCTGTCTTCTTGTTCTTCCTTTGTTGAATGTTGTTTGAGGTTTCGTTAGAGGTGCATTCCTTATGATGATGCTTGTTGTGTCCGAGAGTTTCGTGATATGTTGAAGTTAGTGGTTGATTGATCCCTTTACAACTGTCCTCCATAGTAGTTACCGCTTCTCCCAGTATATTTTGTAAGGGTTGGAACCTTTTATTGAGAGTTATCTTGAATTGATTGAGTTTGTCAGTATCTGGTAAGAAGTCTGTATTGAAGGTTTGTGATGCTGTTTGTCCGGTTGCCCAGTGTTTGTTTAGCTTCAGTTTGATCTTGTCAGTCACAATGATGTGGTGATGTGAAGCTATATGAGCTTCGCTCTTGATTCTCACGTCTCACATTGACTGTCTGAGTTTTTTGGTGGTGCAAGTCTTATTTATCTGATTGTGTGTAGTATGATCCGTTGATACCCATGTATGTTTGTGTATATGTTTTTGAGGGATTGTATTTCCACCTTTAACCATTTGTCAATTTATAACAAAGCATGATGTTTGATCAATGTTACACATGATTAATTGTAGCCTTCTCAGTTTAGTTAACCTCACAGTTCCAGACATTTTTATAACCAGTCATCAGTGGGTTTATGTTATGATACGAACTTAGATAAGAGAATTGGAATCTGAATACAATCAGTTGGCTCAATGACATATTCATGAACTGAAAGTGTACTATAACTTCAATAAATCTAGATCCAAACTCTAAACTATTGAGGAAAATGAAATTTATAGCCGGACGAAGAATCAGTGAATGGTATCTGCTAGAATCTATTTATGGACTATTATTACATATAGTCCTATTGGATAACCATTAAGTAACCATATTATATGTATAGTCATGTTCCTTTTATTATAAGCTCTCATTTGACCTAATGACTACTGTTATATGATTTATCATTCTTAACTTAATTTATGAGTTACAGTCTCTCACACTCATAGCCACTTTTTGGCTTAATCTTGTATGATTGTCATTTTCTATTTTGTGGTATGATTCGGTCTGATTTGCTTGTAGATGAATGGCGTATATCTGAAATACATAAAATGTACAGTGAAAGCTGAAATTGTGTTCTGAACTCAAGCGGACAGGGTAGGGCGAGAAGAACAAATAAAAACTCAGAGTTCACTGTAGACTGCTCGTACTGGTTAACGCTCCACTGGTTTGGCACAGTGCCAAGATCATATAAGTCAGTGTTCTAATTGGCGATCTTATCATGTGATAATCAACAGGTCTATAGGACATAACGCTGAAGAAGTTCAAATGTTTATTCTCCTCTTTTAATCGATAATGATAAAATGAAAGATTAGGGTTTATTGATACGACATTATGCCTTGTTTCTAGGAACCGATCAGTCAATCAAGTCATATTCAACATAGAACCTGGCACATATGTAAATCAGTTCATGCTGCCGTATTCCATTAGCACAGCAAGATGAAATTATCAAGGGAAATCCTAGTTTAGCACAGATGGTAACAGTATCAACAGTAATAGAAAAGATTAGGCTTCTAAGGTAAACTTCGAAAAGAAAACACTGATTAGTGGAAGATTAGAAAATCTATGAAGTAATTTAGAAACTTGTGATCTAAGAGTCATTTCAACCAGTTTCTAAATATAGATGTCGTTTATCACACAGACTCCAACCGGATAATCTGGAATAGCCCACATGGTTTAGCACAACAGCCAGTATCTTTATGGATTAATGATGAATCTTGTTTGATAAACCGTAGTTGTTTTCCAAATCATACATTCACCAGCCATCATCATCCATCTAGGTAGTCAATCCAAGGCTATACATAATACATGTCTTCAATACCTCATCAATTGATTTACCATGTACAACTAGTATCCTGCATCTAATCTTAGACTTGCTAACTCGATGATCCCAAAATACACAACCAATCGCTCAAATATACCTGAGATCGAATAGTAGTAACTTACAAATATCTTTACTATTTAAGGGGCATGTTTTACACTCATAAAGAGAATGAAGAGAAGTGCTAAATAGTAAAATTATCCTTTAGTTGACAATAATACATCTCAATGATGCTACAAATAATATAAGCTAGAAAAAGCCAACTGAAATCAGGCTGAGATTTCTTTTGAGCATCAACTCATCATTACTTATGGAATTTTTAAGGTAAACGAAGTGATTCGCACTGTCAATTACTTCAAGGGTTGGAACAGGTGAGTTCTAAATTTAGATAGAGAGAAACGAATTCAGACATGCTACGTTTTGGTTTGGCCATTCCTGACCTTCTTCCAACCTTCTCCAACACTATTCAGCATTATACGTCGTGGTTCTCGGTGTTCAAGCATACGTAACATGTGGCCTAAACATCTTAGTCGATAAAGATTCACAACCTCATCAACTGATTAACCATCATTCTCTAATACCCTGTGTCTAACCTCACTGTCACTTGCCCAGTAAATCGAGTAGTGCTCAGTGGAATTCAACCTTATCGGGTGTAGAGAAGGTACCCACCGAAGATGGTCGTGCAACATCATGATCTGACTGAGGTTACACTCGTATATCATCGAAACCCGTCTCAGTAGTCTAGAGGTTAAGGAATTATGCACAACAAGGAAGGTCCTAGGTTCAATTCCCTATGGAATGCTATTCGATTTACACTGCTGTGAAGTCACATAATTTGGTTAAACAAATCTCCAGTGCTTTCAGTTTTCAACTGTTGTCTAACTTAGATCAGTTCACGATTTCAATAAAACATAATCATCTTCACGACTCCTTACTAATAATATGAGTCAACATTCAAATATCGAGTACCTTACGTTACTTTCTTGTAAAACTAAATACTAATAATTAGTGAACGTGTTGATTTTTTAAAATTCCACTGTCTAATTTGTGACCAGTGTAGTCCAATCTATGTCGGATATGAGATAGTTATTCACATTTGACAATGGATGTAGGATTGCGCAAGATCATGGATCAATTGAAGTTAGAGATGAATAACTTTAGATCCCAGATTAATCGTCTAGAGTTTAAGCGTTCAAGTGCGCCACCTTAGGCTTTAAGTTCTAGTCACACCTATAAGATCGTGGATGCCCACTGCTGAATAGTTTCATACTGAGATGAAACATTCATACAGTGTTTCCAGGTTTTCAATACTGGTCTACTTTAGATTCACAAATCCCCATAGTGATAATTTCAAAATATCCCTTAGATTGTAAAATACGACAGGAGACAAAATATTCACCGAAAAATTTGACATACTAACTGATCAAATCGTATCATGCATATACATATACACACACATACATACCTACCCTCTTCATCATCATATATCATACATATAACATAGGGGTCGAAATGTATTCATGTACAAACACAACCACACATATATAGATCTATATACACATATATTTACAAATATGCAAATATTCTTATCTAAACAAACCATAGTGATAAATTGGAAATAATAATGAGAAATAGACATATACTACTAATATTACTAACACGACTACTATTGCCAGTATTTACATAAACGATTAAACGATTTTGATTGGTCCATTAAATTTATCATGATTAACCAATAGGATTAAAGGAACAAGAAATGAATTAATCATAATAATGATCATGTTCAATATTGAATTATTTGATCTGGATCAAAACTCATTCATAGATCTCATAATGAATAGATCGATACCATTGAAACCAATGAAAGAACCTGAATTATTTGATATAACAAATCAATTAAAATTATGGGCAATTAATATGTATCATTTAACAGCAACAAAAGATCAAAAGAAATATGATCCAATTGAATTAATATTACGTATTCTATGGGATGATATACATGTGAATAATGAGAAACCAGAATATTATGATAATAATCGAATAAAATTACCTAAATCTAATATATTATTCTCTACAACATTTAAAAATAATACAGATTCTGAACAAGAATATAATTTTCATACAGAACGTTGTACTCGATCAATCATTGAAATTGAAATACAAAAAGGTGTGATATTAACAAAAGAATTATCATTGAAATTAGCGGTAAGTGATATTGTTTATATTCACATTTGAGGAAAAAGAGGCAATTCGCTACCTTTCTTCCTTCTTTCTCTCCTTCCTTCCTTCCTTCCTTCCTTCCCTCCTTCCTTCCTTCCTTCCTTCCTTCCTTCCTTCCTTACCTACTTACTTACTTACCTACTTACTTACTTACTTACTTACTTACTTACTTACTTACTTACTTACTTACTTACTTACTTACTTACTTACTTACTTACTTACTTACTTACTTACTTACTTACTTACTTACTTACTTACTTACTTACTTACTTACTTACTTACTTACTTACTTACTTACTTACTTACTTACTTACTTACTTACTTACTTACTTACTTACTTACTTACTTACTTACTTACTTACTTACTTACTTACTTACTTACTTACTTACTTACTTACTACTTACTTACTTACTTACTTACTTACTTACTTACTTACTTACTTACTTACTTACTTACTTACTTACTTACTTACTTACTTACTTACTTACTTACTTACTTACTTACTTACTTACTTACTTACTTACTTACTTACTTACTTACTTACTTACTTACTTACTTACTTACTTACTTACTTACTTACTTACTTACTTACTTACTTACTTACTTACTTACTTACTTACTTACTTACTTACTTACTTACTTACTTACTTACTTACTTACTTACTTACTTACTTACTTACTTACTTACTTACTTACTTACTTACTTACTTACTTACTTACTTACTTACTTACTTACTTACTTACTTACTTACTTACTTACTTACTTACTTACTTACTTACTTACTTACTTACTTACTTACTTACTTACTTACTTACTTACTTACTTACTTACTTACTTACTTACTTACTACTTACTTACTTACTTACTTACTTACTTACTTACTTACTTACTTACTTACTTACTTACTTACTTACTTACTTACTTACTTACTTACTTACTTACTTACTTACTTACTTACTTACTTACTTACTTACTTACTTACTTACTTACTTACTTACTTACTTACTTACTTACTTACTTACTTACTTACTTACTTACTTACTTACTTACTTACTTACTTACTTACTTACTTACTTACTTACTTACTTACTTACTTACTTACTTACTTACTTACTTACTTACTTACTTACTTACTTACTTACTTACTTACTTACTTACTTACTTACTTACTTACTTACTTACTTACTTACTTACTTACTTACTTATTTGGTAGCCATGCCTTCCCTGAATTTGAGAAGAATGAAATTCAACTATTGATTGATAAGCTTGAAACAATTCAGTCTATCAATCTGTTGTTTAGCAACAATATAGCTAAAAGCCAATATTTCCTAATGAACTGAAACATTTTTGGGGTGTGTTCTTCAAAACGAACGTAGCCCATATTTACTGTTCTAGCGATTCATTTGCTTCGAAAGGTATATAATAATTTATATACACAGTTGGTGGTAACATGAAAGGGGTACACATTAGTCTTTGACTCGAGCAAAGAACACAATGTTTCATATAAGATAACCAGTTTTTGATCATCTGAATACTGTAACTGCAACAATATCATCTAAGTTGAATGAAAATAGGTTTCTTGTCTGTTGTATATTCTTTAGGCGTTTTGTCTTTATTTTTCATATGTTTATTTATTTGAACAAATAAATATTGGTACGAAGTGGCATCAAATACATATGCACCACACAAGTCACTTGATTTGTGTGAGTGCTGTGATACTGTCTGGGTGCCCAAACCGAAACAGGTGGTTTTCTTTGAGGGTCACACCCAGAGCCTTCGACCTAAAGGTCTAATCCACAAGGCAGTCGAACATTGTAAAGAGATGCAATCCCATGGTAGCTGATGACCAACGATTGGTTCGTACGCCATTTGTTCCTTCAGGATACTGGAGTCCATGTGCGTCGTTGATTTGGAGTGAGAGTACTCCAACTCCTCCAGGTAAATCTTCCACATTCACCAACGCGCGTTAAGGCACCGGGCATTAGATTTTTGTCCTCTCAATTTCGTAAACAACACTAGTGGTACGAGAAGGCAGTGAGTAGGATTTCTCTGGTTGCTGTTGTATGCACGTGGCCATGTGAGAGCGTTTGCAGAGGAAGAGCTGCCACTCCTCACTCTCGATCGTACTAAGACATTTGTGGGCCTTGTAGTTCGATCATTCTATACAATAAAACGATCTTCAACATACTTCAAATAATATGCCATTTCATCAATCCCATCTTTATGTTTATTCTTTTCAAGTTGAACCATGAATATATCTTCTAGGATAAGATCTATTGAACTTGTTTTTACTACTTTACCCCTTAATGTTAAGGAGAATTAAGTGTATAGACTAATAAACTGAAAGCAACTAGAAGGAATACTTCAAGTATATAAGATTAATTGGATCCTATTTGTTACTTTCAGGGAAGAAGATTTTTTCCTTTTTTAAGTAGGAACTAGAGAAGAGTTTAAAATTAGGAAACACTATTCAATCCGTTTTCTTATTATTGTTTCCTAGTCACAAAGGATACACACACACGCATATCTACACGGACTGTTTATCAGAGACTCGATTATTTTGTAATTTAAAAGCTTAGTGTTATAACTGGCTTATGGTAGCCAAGCATTCATAGCGACATCGCTATTTGATCCTTCGATATCGGCTCTTCCTTGAATTGTTTCTTTGCATATTCAGTGAAACAGGGAATGAAAGTGTATTTTGATTCAATGCACATTTCGGAGTGTGTGGTCTATCGCTGCATACTTCAGTATCTTGGTCATGTCAAATGAGTAGTGGTGTAAATTGCGGTGTTTACATCTTGATATGATGTGCGACTCGTTCTCAAGATCATTTCAGACGAGGAAACTTCGACTGTTATAACGCTTAGTAACCCATTTTTATGAAAATGGGAGTGTATCATATCGTAATAAACTGTAATATTAACGTATGATTGATGAATACATACAAGAAAACAATGTTTTGGGTATCAGAAGGCTTTATATTGAACATTCAGATAAAAATGTCAGGTAGATTACATGTACGAAACATCATTGGTATACAGTCATCAATTTATCACTGAGTTGAGTACAAATGTGCACAGATTTCCATTGGTAAATTGTAACTCCAAATCATTATGTTTGTAATATGTGATTATCTGCTTCCGAATGCCTTGGAATGGTCGAGGGTAGGGAGTGTCAGATCTCCATCTCGAAATGTTCTCACATGTTCACATGCATACAGACACTTACAGGGAAGTCCTACTCAATGCTTTCTCACACTAGGGGTGTTGTTTACGAAATTGAGAGGAGGAAAAGTGAATGTTGATGGATACGAAGGGTTCATCTAGAAGAAGTTGGAAAAACTTCATTACAAACCAATAGTGCACATGAGCCTCAGTATCCTGAAGGAACAAATAGCGTATGAACTATTGTTGGTCACCGACTGCAATGGGACTGCATCTACTGACGTTTATCCACTGCATCGTGGATCAGACATTTAGGTTGAAAGCTGTGAGTTTATTTTTTCTTCATTCATATCAAATAGGATCCATTAAATTCTACATTCTAAAAGTGTTCATCCAAGTTGTTTTTGATTTCCAATAATGATTGGTTGTTTTGCTGAGTTAAACTTGTAGATAGTTTGATAGGTATTAGATAAGCTCTATATTCACAATTGATTGATCACTGGGTGGTGATCAATGTTATGCTTGTCTAGTCCTTATTAGTGCAGATCGAATGCTATCGATCATGTTGCAATGTGGCCACCAGTCTAGGTGACTCGACACTGCGGGCACTATGTATTGAGATTTAGATGGTGGTTGGAGGTAGTCAACAGGAAACCCTGGACCCGGGTTTCCTGTTGACTACCTCCAACCACCATCTATAAGCTCTATATTCTCCTATCCTTATTATTATTATCATTGATTGTTGATTGCTTTTTGGATTGTGTCGGGTTTTGGTGTGGAAATATATTCACGTTCTAGTCAGGTTAATCACGTGTTCCTGATCATATGAGTTGTGTTGAAGTCCTGTAGAATAAACACTGAAAAGGAATCTAATGTAGGTATTCATCTAAGGCAAATAAACATCCCATTTGTGTAAACATGGATAACCGATCGTTATAACACAGATCTAATTATTGATTTCATCTAAAAATCATGATAAACTACTTCTGTTTTAGCCCATCAACACAGAATTGTAATATAAATTCATTGAGTCAGTCAGTCAGTCGGCTACAACGTGGGACCGGGCACATATATGCATCGGTTCAAGTTGCCATACCTCATTAACACAACAAGATGAACACCACATTCATAAAAGTAGTTAATTCAGAGGTGGTAATATATAAATGAAAGATTGCATATAAGGATATAGTACAGGAAGGAAGAATTAGTTGACAGAAAGAAAGATATGAAGCGATTTTAATCTCTTAGTTTAAAGGAAGACAGAAGGTGTATTCACCAACGCCATTGTGATCGATTCTGAGCTATGTCACACAGACTCTCCGACCATTGGTTAAGATCGTCACGCGGACCGCAACCCCAAGAGTATCAATAATGTGTTTTCACGAGTAGAATCTATGGAAACAGTTTGCATACCTTATGTAAATGAGTAGCCTTAGTTAAGTTTCCTAAGCTACTTAAGCATCATACTTCTATCATGTTCAAATATGGCCTATATTCAAAAGAGTTTTAATGTAAAGTGTAATATTTCCCCTACAGTAATTTATAATCATCTTCATGATGACCATGTTGATACATAATTCCAAATGATCTTGTTAACTGGAGTTTGTTCATTTCTAGTCTATACTATATGGAATATTTATGAATTCTTAAATCTGTGAGACCATTTGTTTAGGATTGTAATTGATGAGTTTCTATCTTATTGGAATATATACCTCCGGTGTATATCGCCTCGATATTGCCCTAAGTCACAAGCTTTATAAATATACATGAATAGTGGTTGGCAGTGGAATCCAGTTTGACACATGTTTCATTCTAT